AATCATTCGGTGAGCTTTTAAAATGCAAGTGTGGAATTGTCCAGTTGTCTGTTAGCCACAATAACTTTTCAGCTGTGGGGACCATTTTGGGGATCTGCTTTCCTTCAGGCATCCAAAACATAGTTCATTTAGACAAGTCAGGGGACGTATTTGAGGAACAAGCATCAGACACATGCCCAGTGGTAGACGGTTATGAGAGAATATTATTGTCCTAAGGATTGAGCAGTGGCTGGCAGTGGGGATTTGATGCACTGGCCTTGGGCATTATTGCCCAATGGAGGGAAATTTAGAATGAAAGGAGCAACAGGTATCCCCTTAGCAGCCTTTCTATATGCAGTGTGGTACCACCCCTTAAAGAATGCAAAGGAACAAAAGAGCAACTCTCTTCTGCCTAGCTGGTTGGGTGCCAGAGGAGCCTTTGGCACCTGCTGCAGGTTGACAAAATCTTGGCCGCTGTGCAACTGACTGAACCATGTGGGTTTTTTTGGTTTGTTTGATTTCTCTGCCTTCTGATTTGTTAGTTTTCTTGGCTGTCCCTCTGTGTATATAAACATTTCCTTCCCTAGTTCCCCTGCCTTTGTTTCCCCTAGTGTGTTGACGCTGTGACTATGATGGTTTTTCTTGAGCAACGTCAATTGCGTGGCTTATTTTGAGTTGGTGCTGTCTACACACTTACTTTGCAGTAGAGCACTCTTCCTCTGACTTCCTTACTGCTCGTACAATGAGGGTTCCAGGAGTCAGAGTAAGAAGTCCTCCAGCTTGACAGTATTTTGACATTATGTTGAAATAACTGCAGGCTGTGTAGACACAGACTAAGTTATTCTGTAATAATGCTAGTTCTTTCAAAATAATGTTGCTGTGTAGACAAGTGATCTGGGGCTGCAGCAGTCAGGGGGCCCAGCCTGCTTTGGGGGTGTTGGCCAGGAGATGCTTAGGTAAGCACCTCCCAGCCACAGCCTGCCTCTTGCACTCTTGCCCCTCCTGCACCCCAGCTCCCTCCTGCAGGTCACCATCCAAACCCTCTGCATCCCCTTGCCCCAGGCCACAACTTCCTCCCACCCTCTTATACCTCTTCCCCCTAGTCCAGAATCCCCTCCTGCACCCAAACACTCTCCCAGACCCTGCACCCCAATCCCCTGACCCAGGTCACAGCCCCCTCCTTCACCCAAACTCCTTCCCAGACCTCACACTGTCTTCTGCACCCCAGTCCCTTACCCCGTGTGTCCTTCTGCACCCAGCTTCCATTCTAGACACCACATCCACAGAAAAGTGTGGCCTTTGACAACTGTCCAAAATCTTGGTGTGGCCCCTACCCAAAAGTATTGCCCATCCCTGATTTAAGAGGAAAATCTTTGTTGATTTTGCTAAACTACTCTGCTGAGTCTGATTATTTCTGGAGGAATAAGAGATGGCCCTGAACCAAAACTCTGAATCCAAACACCCCATACTTAGTGCGTGTGTGTGTGGGGGGAGTGGATAGGAGCCAGATCTGAATCCAAATTTCCCAGCTGCACTCTCTCTACAACAGGACAGCCCAAAACCTTACATCTGAACTTTTGTGGGAAGGTTTTTGGATGCAGATTCAAACTATAAAGTTCAGGTCCATCTGAAGTATTAGTCCTGTCCTGTCTAGATTTGTTATTTTGTCCTCCTATCCCTTGCTCCTTCTTTTTTCCTCCTAAAGCAACTCTTGATGAAATAAACATGTTGTCAAAAACAGAACTGTTTGATCTAATCATCCAGCAACACATCTGCAAAGCTAGAACACTGTGAATCTCATCAGTCATGGACTTTCAACCAATATTTGCCCTCTTTTTGACCCTGACCTCCAAACCACCCTTTTTCATGCAAGTGGGATTAGCTGCTGATACTGTGCATGCAGAGTACTTAAGCTCTTCGAGACTCTGCTAGTACTTATTATCGCTCTGGAGTGCAATTCCATTTGAAGCATAAGTTATTACCTAAAATTCAGTTTTATCCCTTGGAAGTTGATAGAGCAACCATACTATATGTAATATTCATGTCAGATGTGTCTGATATGTACTGGAAGAAAGAAAAAAACCTTTTTCAGTGGAATAGAATCTGAACGCTGCTGCATTTTGGGCTAATAAGTGTTACTTAGGAAGTGTTTTCAAATAAAGCAGAAATAACAGAAGCTTGATATTAAAGGATTTTACTTAGAGAATTACCACTTTGTCAATGCACAAACAAAAATGCTCTTGTAAAACTGACAACCACAAGTTATTTAAGAACTCCTGATTCATTCTGCTTTTTTGGTGGCTTAGCACCAAAGAGGAAGTCTGGGTGCTGTTTTTTTTCTCACTTATTAACAGAATGGACTGTGGAAATAAGACTCTGAGCTGTGCTGTAATTTGCAGCACTACAAACAGTGCAGGTTTAGCTGGTGGTGTGATATGTGATTTTATCCCTCCATTATTTTCCCAAAGCATCAAGTTAATATGACTAATGCAGACTGGCATATGCGTTGTGGCAGCCATTATTTGTTCTGAAAAGAGATTCAATACTATCACTCTAGGGCAGGAAGCGGAAGATGTGGCTATAATAAGAAATAAGCATTTTAATGAGATTTTGTGATCATGCTTTTCATTAGTAGTGGTTGAAATATATCATTGACTTTTACAGCTACTTAAAAGGTAAGAGGTCTGTTCAAAAAAGATAGTCACTCTTATATATGTAGTTCCTTTTTGGGAAGTGCTACATAGGTCGTGGTTATAAAGTTTAGTTTTTCTTCTCTTTGAAATTGGCACAAGTGAAACAGAAAAGTCCAAGGAAACATGCATTTTTCTGCGCTCTTTCAACAATTCATCATGGAATTTACCAGGAAAAGTAAAGTATCAGAGGGGGAGCCGTGTTAGTCTAGATCTGCAAAAGCAACAAGGAGTCCTATAGCACCTTATAGACTAACAGATGTATTGGAGCATAAGCTTTTGTGCACAAAGACTCACTTGGTCAGATGCATGTAGTGGAAATTTCCAGAGGCAGGTATAAATATGCAGGCCAGAATCAGGCTAGAGATAACGAGGTGGATCCAATCAGGGAGGATGAGGCCCTCTTTTAGCAGCTGATCTGGAGGTGTGAATTCCAAGAGAGGAGAAGCTGCTTTTGTAGTTAGCTAGCCATTCACAGTCTGGCTACGTCTACATTGGCCCCTTTTCCGAAAGGGGCATGTTAATTTCAGAGATCTTAATAGGGAAATCCGCGGGGGATTTAAATATCCCCCGCGGCATTTAAATAAAAATGTCCACCACTTTTTACACTGGCCCCGATCCTCCGGAAAAAGCGCCCTTTTCCGGAGGATCTTATTCCTACTTATTTCCCCTACAATATGTACCAGTTCCGACTTACATACAAATTCAACTTAAGAACAAACCTGCAGTCCCTATCTTGTACGTAACCCGGGGACTTCCTGTCTCTGATTTGTGTCCATTTATTCTTTTATGTAGGGACTGTCCAGTTTGGCTGATGTATATAGCGGCGGGGCATTGTTGGCACATGATGGCGTATATTACATTGGTAGATGTGCAGGTGAATGAATAAGTGATGATGTGGCTGATCTGGTTAGGTCCTGTGATGGTGTTGCTGGTATAGATATGTGGGCAGAGTTGGCACCGAGGTTTGTTGCATGGATTGGTTCCTGAGTTAGTTACTCTGGTGCGGTGTAGAGTTGCTGGTGAGAATATGCTTCAGGTTGGTGGGTTGTCCATGGGCGAGGACTGGCCTGCCTCCCAAGGTCTGTGAAAGTGAGGGATCATTGTCCAGGAAAAGTAAGTTAGCTATAACTCACTCCTGTAAAAGTACTTGGCAATTAATTAGCAATATTATCAAAACCCATTTACTGGCTTGTTTTCAGTATCTTGTGTATTTTAAGGACATAAATGATTTCTTTTGCACTGAAATGCTCTGATTTTTTTAGGTCTAACTTTTCTGACCTGTACCCTGAGAGAATCTAATTCATTCATTGTTCTAAAACAATTATAGGGAGCCAAAGAGATGAGACAAAGGCTTGTATGGTCAGAAGTTCTCCTACACCAACGAGAAGGAAAACTCCATGAACTGAGCAAGGGAGGCCGAGATTCAACAGCAAAAGTTCAGAAAATTTGTGAGGTCAACGAAGTGGAGGTGAAACAAATCCAAGAGGAAACTGCAACATCCCACCATCAAAATGTAAGCCTATAATATAGAATAGGTTTTCCCTCTTACATTTGTCTATTTTGCAAGAGTTATACACTGTATTTGCAAAGTTCACAAGGGGGCCTTTCTTCCTCTTGGCTACTAGCTACAGTAACAGCTTATTAAAACTTATTAGACTTTTCCCTAACTGAAGAAAGTTTATTAACATGGCCTTAAAAAAAGAGAGATGGGACAAAGCTATTGAGCATTCTGCTTAAATATCATAATATAATGCCAGAGGATATAAATTTGGGCCAGGATGAATTTTTTAGAGGAGAAATCTTGGCCCCATTGAAGCCAATAGCAACATTCCATTCAACTTCAGTGAGGCTGGGAAGATTTCCCCTTGAATATACATGATGGAAGTGTGGCAAGGACTCTTTAGCCAGTGGGGAGATTGACAATGGGCAGATAAGTGTGTGACTAGGTGCCTGGCTCCTGTTTGTGCTTTTGAATAGCTCCTTCAAAAATTGTGTAGGCTTAATTCAAAAGGTCTGTTTTTGAAAAACACTCGTTTTGACTTTTTTCTGAAACAAAGAAAATGTCCTCTGTACCTTACATTGTAGATTTGAGGCCAGAATCTTAATGCCAGCCATTTGGCACGTGGCACAGCTCTTTAATAGCTAACATTTTATTTCAGTCTCAGAGGGGTAGCCGTGTTCGTCTGTATCTGCAAAAGTGAGGGCTCCTCATTTTATTTCAGAACACTCTGGAGAAGCCTGAGGGCTGCTCTGTATGGCATCTGTGGCAAACAGCACCAACAGGCCATTTTAGTGGACAAGGATTGCTAGTATAAGGAAATTCTAGCCAGACCCCCCATTTTTTTTGGTCTTGCCACTATGACAAGGGCTTTGAATGTGGGTAGCGGAGAGCCAGGGTGTGGGCATATCATGAATTTATAGAGTGACACTATATTTTCAGTTTTATTATTTATCCCTCTTCTAACAGTTTCTAATATTGTTAGTTGACTGCTGTTGCACACTCAGTAGGTGTTTTCAAAGAACTATGCATGATGACGCTAAGCTCTTCCATGAGTGGCAACAGTTAATATAGACCCCTTCACTTTGTGTGTATTAATGTGTTTGACTTTGCAGTTACACGTTGTACCTCCCTAAACTGGGACTCTCTGGTCTGGCAACATCTGTGGTCCAGCAGGACCAAGGATATTCCTGGACCACAGAGCCCAGGAACAGGGAAGTCTGGCAGTAGGGCAGGAGTGTAGTTTGGAGAGTGGTAACTCAACTGGGATTCTTGTTGGCAGCGTAGCAAGAAGATTTGGCCCCAGTGGTCAGCTCCAGCCCAGTCACAGAGCTCTGGCCCCACTGGCAGGGGAGCTCTGGGTCCAGAGCCAGACCGCTGCAGAGCCCCCTGGCTGCTGCTGGAGGTCTGCAGCTACCTGGCTTCATGGCTGGGGCTGGACCTCCACAGCCAGCACCAGGACCAGAGGGCAGGGGCTGGAGTTCCCTGGCAGCTGCTAGGGCCAGGATGAGGCTGGAGCTCCACAGCTGGGGAGTTGTAGCCAGACAGAAACCCTCCCCCCCCCCACCTCCTCTCCTCCCTCTGACATTCTTAGGGGAGAGAATCTTTGAGAGCTAAACTCTGTCTTCAAAGGCTCCAGAGCCTCCAGAGGTGCTGGAATAACAATGGCCCTGGATGCTAGACAGAAACCAGATAACAGTGGCAATTTGGCCAGCAGGCGATCGGGGCCTTTAGCTGCCCTTGGCTGGTACCAGTATTGATACGTCTGCACACCGTCCCGGAAGAGGAATCTGCTGCCCCATCACACAGAATGTCTGGCCCTAATGATTTAGTTACCTCCACCTCACAGGCGCAAATTAAGCTTTGGACCTCCTATGGGAACGGGCATCACAAAGACGTTCCAACTTAATTGGCATTTTAATGATTCCACAACCTCCCTGGGCAATTTATTCCAGTGTTTGACTACACTGACAGTTAGGAACTTTGTCCTAATGTCCAACCTAAACCTCCCTTGCTGCAGTTTAAGCCCATTGCTTCTTGTTCTATCCTCAGAGGCCAAGATGAACAAGTTTTCTCCCTCCTCCTTATGACACCCTTTTAGATACCTGAAAAATGCGATCATGTCCCCGTTCAATCTTCTCTTTTCTAAACTAAAGAAACCTAATTCTTTCAGCTTTCCTTCATAGGTCATGTTCTCTAGACCGTTAATCATTCTTGTTGCTCTTCTCTGGACCCTCTCCAATTTCTCCACATTTTTCTTGAAATGCGGTGCCCAGAACTGGACACAATACTCCAACTGATGCCTAACCAGCGCAGAGTAGAGCGGAAGAATGACTTCTCATGTCTTGCTCACAACACACCTGCTAATGCATCCCAGAATCATGTTTGCTTTTTTTGCAACAGAATCACACTGCTGACTCATATTCAGCTTGTGGTCCACTATAACCCCTAGATCCCTTTCTGCGGTACTCCTTCCTAGACAGTCGCTTCCCATTCTGTATGTGTGAAACTGATTGTTCCTTCCTAAGTGGAGCACTTTGCATTTGTCTTTATTAAACTTCATCCTGTTTACCTCAGACTGTTTCTCCAATTTGTTCCGATCATTTTGAATTATGACCCTATCCTCCAGAGCAGTCAGTCGCATCCCCCTCCCAGCTTGGTATCATCTGCAAACTTAATAAGTGTACTTTCTATGCCAATATCTAAATCATTAATGAAAATATTGAACAGAGCCAGTCCCAAAACAGACTCTTGCGGAACCAAAACAGTCCCCTGCAGAACCCCACTTGTTATACCTTTTTGTTGCTTGGACACCCAGTTTAGCGAGATCCCTTTGTAAGTCTTCACAGTCTGCTTTGAACTTCACTGTCTTGCTGAATTTTGCATAATCTGCAAACTTTGCTACTTCACTGTTTACCCCTCTTTCTAAATTGTTGATGAGTATGTTGAACAGCACTGGTCCCAACAGAGCTCCTTGGAAGACTCCACTCTTTACTTCTATCCCTGTGAAAACTGTTTATTCCTACCCTTTTGTTTCCTGTCTTTTACATAATTACTGATTTTTGAGGACCTTCCCTCTTATACCATGACTGCTTTCTGAAGGTCCAAGTAGACTAAATCTGCTCGTCCACATGCTTGTTGACACTCTCAAAGAATTCTGTTAGATTGAGGTATGATTTCCCTTTGCAAAAGCCATGTTGACTCTTTGCCAATACATCGTGTTCATGTGTGTGTCTTATAATTCTGTTCTTGACTATAATTTCAACTAATTTGCCTGATACAAAAGTTAGCCTTACTGGACTGATGTTGGAGCTTTTTTTTTTTTTAAATCAATATTACATTAGCTATCCTCAAGTCATCTTGTACAGAAGATGGTTTAAGTGATAGGTTGCATACATTACCCCCCTAGTTCGAACTAGGGGGGTAATGTATGCATACCGAACTTGCTAATGAAGCCCGGGATTTGAATTTCCCGGGCTTCATTAGCAAGTTCGGTATGCATACATTACCCCCCTAGTTCGAACTAGGGGGGTAATGTATGCATACCGAACTTGCTAATGAAGCCCGGGATTTGAATTTCCCGGGCTTCATTAGCAAGTTCGGTATGCATACATTACCCCCCTAGTTCGAACTAGGGGGGTAGTGTAGACATACCCTCAGTTAGTAGTTGTGTACTTTTATATTTGAGTTCCTTCAGAACTCTTGGGTGAATACTATCTAGTCCTGGTAATTTTTAATACTATCGAGTTTATCAATTTGAACCAACTTCTGTTGATACCTCAGTCTGGGACAAGTCCTCAAATTTGTAATCTTAAAAAAGGCTCAGCTATGAGCATCTTTCTTTCTCATATCCTCTGCTGTGCATGCTTTCTCTCTCTAATCTTTCTCCAGACTATTTTAACCATTCAAAAAAGCTTATTTTCTCGCTCCTTCACATTCCCTATTGTCCACTGTGATCTTCCCTGTTGCATACTTGGCATGCAAAGTATTTATTTTGAGTAATACAATGTTACCGCTGAGGAGCGTGCAAGTGCAACAGCAGTAAAGATGTTTTCTTTTCCCTGTATTGTCAATGTAATCAAGTTCACTCTCATCAGAACAGAAATCCTCTTACTTTTTCTTCTACTTGAACCCCTGTTGTACAGTAGATTCCACGGGGCAAGGGGAAGCAGAACAAGGGGGAATCTGGACAATGCACTGATACTAAAGCAAAGCTCATTATTTTGCTTTTTGCCAAGGCTAATTTTGTTCCAAGAACAGCAAATTGCAAAGTATCCTTGCTGAATAGTCAGTTTACTGAAAATTGTAACAAAATATATTCATCTGAAGCTGGCAAAACATAGTTCTAACCAGGGCAGGGTCAAATTTATTATCAATATAATGTATTCAGTTGGGCAGGCCACTTATTTGAGGGACCAGTAATATGCCCTGTCTGAAAAAGGATGCAGCTCAGAAATCCACAGATTATTCTAGAAATTACTGAGTGATCTGTAGCTCATGTTGTAAATAGACACACAAAATGAGTTTTTGCTTTTCCAAAATATAGAATGTCAAAGAACCTATTACTCTTAATCATTCATTGATTCCATCCTCTATTTGCTAATTCCTTTTCATTATCAGCAGATTAGCAGAGCAGCAATTGTAACAAACAAGCAATTCCTCTTAAGACTAAGGCAGTCTCCATTTTTGTTTCACATTGCTTTGATTAGAACAAGAAAATTCTACAGCAGAATATCCAATAATCAGGTTACAATAGGTGAATATAAAACACTGCCTGAATTCCTGAATACTTTTCTATGATAGCAGAAGCAAAAGTATCATGTCTTTTAATATGAATATCAAGCTAGATTCCCTGATCCTGTACAGTGAACTCAATGCAGAAACTTCTCTCCCTCTCCTCCCCCATATACACAGGGTACCAAGCTGAAGTCTTAGGGGCTCCAATCAACTGAAGGGGACTGCTCATTGCATGACAGGAGCTTAGAAAGTGGGTCCAAAATATCAAATCCAGATCC